TCATCCCCTGCAGGTGATTTACAGCCTCGAAGCCGCCGGCACCAACGGAAACGCAGCAGCGCCTCCAACGGCTACTTTCCGTCGTACTTGGCCGGTCCAGGCGGTGTGGGTACATTAGATGGCAACGTCAACCATCCAGGCCCAGCACAGGATCCGTTGAACCAGTTCTTTGCCAAACACCTGCCGGACGTGGCTCCTCCAAAGTCGCAGCTTGGCTGGCTGATGCCAGAAATGCCCTTTTCTGCCGACTCTCCCATTATATCTCGTCCATCTACGCCGGGGAATGGTCCCCTAAATATCAATGTTGGACAGGTTGGTGGTGCAATCGAGTCCTGGGTGCGACGTATAGCAATGCAAACCAAGGAGGCCGTGAGCCCTCTAGAGAGGCCCAGCAGATCCGCTCCCGACTCTTCCATTGGTGACTTGATTGAGATGACGGATGAATTGGACGTAAACAGCAGTAGCAGCAACTATACAGCCGTCACATCTCGGGGACGTAGAGAATTGAAAGATGATTAAACGAGATACCTATTGTATGAACGTCCATCTGGAATTGGAATTCCCCATTAACCTACAATCCACCTCTAGGCGAGCGTACTCTACGCTGCTCGTCTCTCCCTACCCCAGCCCATGGCCCGCATTCTTTCCTCAATGCCTCTCCACACTTCTTCGACGACTTCACGGTCCCGCCACCGCGGTTGCCCTGGAATTACCTTGTCAATCTGCGCCACCATGACGCCGCGGCCCCAGCCCTTGATGGTTTCCGGCACAACCTCGCTTTTCCACCCCACGTAGATGCCCAGTGCATGGCTGAACAGGTCACCTGGCTGCTGCCACTTGTAATTTTTAAACTGCCACATTTGACCAGTTGTGAACACAGCCACCAGGCGGTCCCAGTAGTCGGGCCGGAACGTGGACGGATCGTCGACCAGAATGAACCGAACTGGCTTGCTCCCAGAAATGGAAGGCAGCGTACGCATTAGATGCAGGATATTAGCCCCACTAGTGCCCGTTTCGGGCGGGATATAACGGCCTTCTTCAAGGAAAGACTTGATGTTGGACATTCGCAACAAGCTGGAGGCCGACGGCGACAGCAGGATTATGGGCTCCGGTCGTCTATTAGCGGCCGGCTTGACCGGGGGCCGAATGCCACCGTTAGTAGCCGCAGGCGCCGTGGCCTGTGGAGCAGCCTGTCTTGATCTATCCAGGAAGAGAGGGCTGTATTTCTTCCGCAAGTCGCTGAAATCTTGGGGTTTGAGCCCTCTGAGTACCGTGTTATGATTCATAAGCACACGCTCACCCCGATAGATTTCCTGCAGTCTTTCCTGTTCCTGTCGCTCCGCTTCCCGATCCACGCCACCCACGTCTCCCATTTCGATATCATCCAGTCCGGTTTTTCCAGCCCCCTTTAGGCGTCCTCCATCAGCACTCATTATGAATTCGCTTTCAGACTCTCCTATCTGGCCGTTCAGCCAGCCGTTCAAATCAAGACGCTCGGCAAACACCAGATTGGTTGCCTTCTCCTCTTTGCCAGCCAGCCTCAGTTCATCGGAGATTTTCGTACAGTCTGCAATGTATTGCGCCGCGTTACTATCGCGATGCAACCAGCACAGATATGCCGAACGTAGGTCCAGCGCCTTGTGGCCTGATGATGGTGAAACAAAGCGCGTGGGATGGGTGAGCGGCAGTGCGATATGATGTGGGCCATCTTGGGCCGACTGTGTGTTGAAGTGGAGGTAATTCGCCTCGGATAGTGACAACGTAGTGTCCGCGCCGGTCGCTGGATCCTCGTCTTTGGATGGTATCGGCAGCGGCTGTTTGTTGAGTATACTATTCCGCAGTAATAGCAATGGATCGTGCTCCATTTTCTTCAAGGATTTGTTTGCTGTCGGGTGTTGGCGTTGCCAATGTACAGCTGAGTCAGGCGTGCAAGTCGCGTGTCGCAGTGTACGGCACAGCCAATCGGGAAGCTCCCGTCCCGACTTCATCTGTGCGGCTGCAGTTTCCTCACGGCCCAGTCATCAGCATCGCCTTTGTTGGAATAGAAACTTTAGGTGACTATCCAAACTACTCTAGTGGAGAACTGCTCTTGGAAATGATACATTACGAAAAATTGTCCCCGTCATATCCACAGCCATCATGGTTACGTCTATCACGCTTACTAGGCTAAAACCTCCATGCTTACAAGCAAGAACCATTTCCATTATGGAAGGAATACATTTTGGTGCACAGGCTATTGCAATTCGGAAGGGAAATAGTGGTCTGACAATTTTGATGTTGTGGCCCCACCATTGGTCGTACCTTCCTCAAATGCGATTAGCCAGCTCTTGGCATCGCACGTGGATTTCCCTTTTCGTGCACCACACATCCTGCGACACGCTCAAAACTTCAAAATACCAACCTTACCCCTACCACTCTTATACATCGTTCATGCTCACCTAAGGATCGATTTTGACAATGGTACGAACCCACAAGGTCAAAGACGAATCAAATTATAGACGCGGACTATTCCTTCTTGCTAGCTTCGCAACTGCGATAATATGCGTCGCACAGCCGTTCATGTGCTTCAAGGACAAGGCGGAGATAGAAGAGCGGAACAAGCAGCAGGCGAAGAAGAATGCGAGTCGCAGCCATGGCGATCGCCGTCGCTTCCGAGTACGTTCGCCCTCTCCAGACCGCCTGCCCAACTCCCGCACGCCACGCGAGGAGACATATTGCAGAGGAGAGCGCACTACGGCCGATCATCGTCGTACCCGTCGCCAAGCCCCGCAGCCGGAGGGGCATCGCACGAATCGTCACCAACAGTCTCCGTCCCCGAGCTCCTCGCAGGAAAAGGCGGAGAAGATGCCGAATCAAAACCGCAGTCGACCAGCCAAGACAGATCGTTACCTCCGTTACGAGGAACAAAGTCCGCAGAGGAGCTCGTAGAACCAACCTCCTTGTCCCTATCTGCCTATCGCATGGCACTTAAGGCATCAGCGGAGCAGCATCTGAAGGCACTGAACAAGCATGAGGAAGCTGAAATAAGGTATGTGATCCACCTATGGAAGTGAATATTGGAACCTTTCTGACATATTCACGTAGCGAGGGTGTAAAGGACAAGACGAGCCCTCCATCCCGACCCAACAGCGAGGCCACCACAAGCCCGGAGTCGTCTGCGTCTGTGCTGACAAGATCTTCTGGTAGTAGCTTTGCGTACTTGCTACGTAGGCCAAAGGTTGATAAGCGTTTGCTCACTGACGAGAAACGTTTATTATCGGGGAACCTACCTTTTCGACCGAAATCACCATCTCCGGAACCCAGATCAACGCTAATATCGTCCCCTGAACCAGTCGTAGTCGAGGATACGCTTGTCTCTACAGTTGACTTTGCATCATCACAGGCGTCTGACGCGAGCTCGGCTCCTTTGGTATGTAGTTTATCCTGACTGGCGCACAGCCCTAATTTCAGTAGAGTATGCCTTCGACACAAGCTTCCAGGAGAAGTGAGACAGGCAACGTGGGTAGTCCCAGGCCGAGACACGCTACGACTGGAGCTTTGCACTGGAAAGCCGTGCACTCGGGCTCCTCCAAAGCAGACCAACGAGCGGCACAGGCTGTTCTTACCCCGGGGTGGAACTTTGGCACGTCGTCGCCATACTTTCACAGCGCCTTACTGTCGAAGAGATTAATGGAATATACACCGGATCTTGGGCCGCTGTCACCCGACAGCGAAGCGCCTAACTCTGGCTCGCCCAAAGGAACTCCCTTAAGCCCCATGGACGATAATGTAAGGACAACGTCCATTTCAGCAACACTTGCAGAGCCGTCAACACCTCACCCATCGTCATGGAAATTGTGGAAGCCACGGCTACGGTCAGGCAGACATCGCCACCGAACCGAAATGTTCTTCTCTCAGCATGAAGAGCCTTCAAAGGATGTGACCCCGTTCAGCAGACCGAAGTTGCACCTGAGAAGCTGGTCCGAAAGCACTCAAAAGAGCTTTTTAGGGCGATCACCAAGCGAGCCAAATCAGGAGCAAAGTTCTTCAGCGACGTCCCTACAAGTACCTGGATTGGCATTCATTCAAGAGGCTGAGCTTTTGAGGGACCGAATGCCGTTGCGTCGTCAAGTGTCAGCCGTCTCAGACGGCATAGCGACAGGTCCTGCCAGCCCTTACAACCATCCTTTACCTCCCAGGCCGCCGTTGCTGCGACGCCAGGCTTTGGCGACAGACCCTGTGTATCATTCCGAATCAACGACTTCGTTCAAAGACTTGCCATCACCTGTCGATAATCCTCCAGGCTCTCCTCCTGGAACGTCTCGCCAAATTAGTCCTGGTGGGACGTCTCGTTTCATCTGGAAAAATCTTGTGCCACGTCACATACGCAACTCATTTGGCAGCACCAGCACGTCTAGTCATGAGGGCGAAGATTCACCAGGTTATCGTTCTACCGGGCTAGCCCCCCGTTTGCGCCGGGATAAGTCAAATCGCACATCATCGACGGGGCTCGGAGGTCCGGTGGAATACAGCTTAGAGGTGACTGATTTTGTCCAAACGCCCTATATCCAACGTTTCAACGACGCCAAACGCACAGAAGAAAGGCAGTTGCGCATATCAGTGGAAGACGCAGCTGAGAATGAAGCCTGGGATCCCAAGCTAAAGGTCGCCACGAGTATACCCGATCACTTACCGAACAGTCCGTTGTGTCCGCTGAATCCCAATTACACGGGTAAGGCAGCACCCGTCTGTCCACAGCATTCTGCACGCGCGAATTCCCGCGGGAATAGGAAAAGTCAGCTGGGGTCCAAGGAGAGTTCTGATGGGGTAAGGCAGAAGCCGAGTATCGTCTACGACAGTCTGTCCGACGTTTAGATGTAATTGTACCTGTACTCCTGTGCATAACACCGTTATCACTCTAATGAGTGTGCAGACTAGCCATCATGAAAGATGTTTTCTAAAAAGGCAACATCTATGCACTTTGTATAAATTTTAACCTCCTGCTTATAACGTTATAACAGGGTCCAATGGTCTAGTGGTATGATTGTCGCTTCGGGAAATCTGCTTTCCAGGTCTGGTTCCAACCTGATCAGAGAATGTGACAGGCCCCGGGTTCAAATCCCGGTTGGACCCCAAATATTTTTTTTTCCTCAGCATCACTAACACACATCCCTTGACGATATCTTTTTTCTACTTGACCAAACCCAAAAAACAACCCACCAAGTCTCACAGAACAGACCATCCAAAGAAACAAATACGCCACCTAATTCACAATCTAACCAATCCACATATCCCTCAACGTTTCTTATTCTTATTACCCCCTTTTTTCTTTGATTCAACCCACCCCGGTGCGACTTCAACAGCCTTGACAGGTTCACCTTTATACATCATCAACAGCGACTGAATCTCTGCGGGGGTGAAGCTCTCTTCGGGGATTATATCTGCGAAATTTTCCGCTAGGACGCTCACATCCACATCATCCACACCCCCCGGGGAGGTATCTTTCGCTGCTGTTGAGAGTTTGGGAAGGGGGTGAGTATACATCCCTATGAAGAGGTTTTTGATTTGGTCATGGTTGGCGTGGGTGAATTTTATGGTTAGGTCGACGCGGCCGGGACGGGTTAAGGCTGTGTCGAGACGGTCGGGGTAGTTTGTTGTCATTATTAGGACGCGGCCTTCGTGGGAGGCTACGCCGTCGATTGCGTTTAGGAGTCCGGAGAGAGAGACGTGGCTGCGGCCTGCGGTCATGGGGTGGGGAGGTGGACTATCTGAGTCGTAGATTGAAAGGGGGGGGGTGGTTTGTTGAAGATGTTGTGGTTGTGGGTGGGTTGGAGAGAGGGTCGCTTCGCGACGAACTTCTAGGCCTGCGGCGTCTACGTCCTCGAGGAGGACGATGCAGTGTTTTGGCAATTCGCTGAAGAGGTTTATGAGCCTTTCTTCCGTTAGGGTTGCTTCTTGGAGGTTGATTACGTAGATTCCCAGGTGGAAGACGCCGGCGAGGGCGTATGAGAGACTAGTTTTACCTGTTCCGGGCGGGCCGTGGAAGAGGTAACCCCTTCGGTAGGGGATACCGCGCTCTGCATACCATTTTGCGGTTTTGGATTGGAGGTAGCTTCGCATGTCTTCTCGGATGAGTTCCTTTTGGGCGGTGTCGAGGATGACGGTTTCCAGAGGTCGGGAATCACGCACGCTACATCGGCGCCAAACGGGACCGCCGTGCTTGAGCTTGTGTCGTGGGCTGGGGTAGTGGATTGCTGTGCGGCCGCGAGATTTGCGCGTAGAGAAGGCATCGGCTTCGGTGAGGAAGTCTCGTAGACGGTCAAGTCCCCAGCCCCAGCTGCTGAGGATGATGATGTCTTGGTCCCCGTCGCCTTGACGGCCGTAGTGGCCTGTGTGTGTCTGCGGATGTTCGCGTTGCATACGGTCGAAGAAGATCCGGCGTCCGTTGTGCCAGATCCATTGGCTTCCACGGTCGGGCTCGAGGATGGGAGGGCGGGGAGAGTTCTTCTTGTCGTTGTAGTTTTCGTCGTCATCGTCGCTGCTGTCGCTGTCTGAGAGGCTTCGATACTCTATTGGGATCCAGCCGCTGTTGTGTCTGACTCGATACCTTCGTTGGTGCCATGTCAATTCAGGATGCGAGACCATCCACTCGGAAACCACGTAAAAATAGCGGTCTGTTGCATCAATGGTGATTCGCGTCATGAAAAGCCGCCTCAAGGTAAGCTCGATATACCACCAGATGCTGTTGAACAGACGACTGACTGCCAGAATGATGCTCGGGATGATGATGAGCTGAGGCACCTTGATGCCGAGCGATTCAGCAAATGCGAACATAAACGCATAGCCTTCGGTGTACATGTCGCCCATGCCCTCCCATGGCATTTGCAGGTTCATCTCGAATCTTGAAATACATGGAGGGCCAGCCCGGCAAGTTTTATGCTTGAAACATTGCTTGCTTGGCTTTCCATCTTGATTGTTGTGCAACGCCACGTGCATGCAGATGCTGTGCGTTTGTGGAGCGGTCGCTAGGCTGAGAAGTGATGCCCATCAGGTTTCTTGTCCCATGATCAAGATCCACTGGATTGCATCGTCAATACAGCCCGGCTGAGTTACACTGACGAGGAAACTTCTGCACGTTTCAATTGTTGCCCGCTGAAATCTATGTTGAGCGGTATTACAAGCATGAAAGTCATAAAGACCTGCCTGAGCCGTGCCCGACGCCTGGGTCCCCAAAGAACTGCGGTGTAAGTCTTCCGTTATCACCCGACTTTCGATCATTACTACCATCGACTTGGGCGCCAATACCGCCAGCCTTGGCCTCGTTCTCCCAAACAGAGATGCCACTCGGCGGCACGGCGCCTCCCAAGGGCTTACTTCTAGCATACGAAGCCATACTTCCATTTGTTCCCGTGATCGCCCACGCAAAAACTGCCTGTTGGCGGATGGCGTTTAAAAAGTCTTGCTGATGCTGCAATGACGGCTGTTGAGGGGTTTGTGCGCTTCTTGGGCCCAAAGAGGGGGCAAACCGGGTATTTTCAAACCCTTGGCGGTGTTCAAATGGCGGCAAAATCGGCTGCTCGGCCCAGGGCGCCGCGAAAACGCCCCGTCCGGCCACAGACGGGAGCATGGGCCTTGCTCTACGGAGGCAGACAACTAGCCCGTCCGAGGAACAGGAAACAACTGCTTCGATCTCCAGGGGAGGATCGCTCATGTGGGTTTGGCTGACCGACGGTGAATAATCGTCGATGCGTGGGTCGCGGAACCAGCACCGCAGATATGCAATCGAGCAATTTGCTTTGGCAGTCTCCAAGCATCTGACGGCATCGGCGAGGCAATTCTCTGCAATGCAAAAGTAAAAGCTTCGCCCGCGCACATCTGCAGCAGGGATGCCGAGCACTTCCTGTATGCCTGTAGTGGCATACATGATGGTTAATGTTCGCGTGAAGCGGTTGAGGAACAGGGCTGCACGCGGCTCGTGGAGCTCTGGCGCACTATCCTGCTGGAATTTTGGGGATAAATGGGAGAGCATATGGTAGCGCGGATCGTTGGGAGACGACGAGAACATGCGGCGAATAATGGGTGCATCGATGGCACGTCCTGCAGCGATCAGCCTTCGCTTCCACTTCCCCGATCTCACCTACTTTGACTGGCTTCGCCCTGGGTATAGGTGCTGGTGCAGACGATCATTACATCGTACACGATCGTGAAAACAACCTCGCAGCCGACCCATTGGTCCTGCTTGTTCCTGATGTTGCAATATACCAGCACGGCAGCCTTGTCAGTGGCAACACGATGCTGATATACATGACGAGCATTGGCCAGGTCGCTGCTGGGAAAGAAGTCCCATGCCGACCGGTTCACAATCTCCTCGGGTGTGTAGCCGAGAATGTCGACAACCGAATCTGACGAATACAGAATTCGCGCCTCTTCCGTCAGGTCGTGGATTGAAATAAAGGTTGTTTCCATGGCCAAGTCGTTGGCAAAAAGAGTCTCTGATTACAGCACCTTGATCGACGATTGGATGGCGTCACGGCGTTACCTCTGTGCCAAGACCGTTTGCATTAGCCGTCTTGGATGGCCTTAGCCGAGATGCAACTTCTGCAGAGTCCGTGAAACTTGAGAGTTGTCGACTATTTCAACTGGCGCCATACGGGTTGTCATGACATGCAGCACCGACAGTTTCTAGAAAAAACCGTCTCTTGATCAAGGCAGTGCTGGGTGCCGGTCTATACAACTCGACGAATGACATGGCCGGTAACTGCAAGATGTGCAGCAGGGAAGTCCGGGAGATCGACCGGCCCGGCCCTTGCCGCCGCTGACCGCTGTCATGACATCGCCATTGACATGAGGCCTTCCAGCTGGTTGACCCTCCCGTCGGACCAGCATTTCCAGTGATTGGTTTGCTGCTATCAACTTGTGAGCATGTCCGGCTTGACACCGACATGGTGATTAGCTGAACTCAGTATCTGCCATGATGATCGCCGGTACAAAAGGGGGTGGGTAAAGTGACATAAATAAGGTAAGGGAGTATCTCCTGTCAGGGGTCAAGGATGTTTAATTTGAATGCCAAGAAACGATTGATTTGCTCTACTAGTTTTTCTCTTTGACGCCCGGTACATTTCGCACTCACACATTGAGATCTTCGCATTTAAGTTGACACTTGCTCTCTGGACATTACCCTGCCTCATCAGCCATCGGCCACACCGTGGTTGTGCTTGGCGCATAGTGGGGCGACGAGGGTCAAGGTAAGCTTGTACACAGATAGGCGGACACAAGTCAGGTAATACCATTACTTAACTTGGCGAGATTTTCTGCCTGGTTTCCGCACAACCCCCAGAGTGTGGGCCAGGTGGATATTTTGCATGAGACAATCCCCGGCTGGAGACAGTCTATCCTTGAAGACATACAATCTTGTCAAATTGGTCGACGAAGCGACCGGCGTCTCGATAAAATGGGTGAGGCAGGGGATGGTTATGGATGAGCTTTGGCTATTATGTGACTGCGAGCAGTCTAATCATGAGGTGTGGGCGAATGTTGGGTTTAGATAGCAGGCAGGATGAGCCTTTGCTGCTGGCTGATTTGCCACATAACACACCCACTTCATCATCTTCACGCTCGACTGTACTTTATCCGCAGGTGATGAATTTCAAACGACCTGTCTTTTAGTACCTTTATCAATCCTTCAATCGACCCTTTGCGTGCAGTTATTCATCATTACAAAAAGTTGACAATGAAAAGTAGGCACACAAAAGAATGAAAAAGCCGGAATGATCGTTGTAACTCGAGGCGTGGGATGCACACGGCGTCTCCCTATGGACTGTCTTAACATTGTTTCATCACGAGGTACGATCTTCTGTGCTGCAGATTACCGCAGTTCTAGGAACTGCAGGGAACGCGGGGCCAGTCTTCCCGAGTGGAAACTGCGCGAACATAACTGGTGCAGCTTTGGTGGAAAGTTGCTGCAGACCTGGATGCATTCTGCTCAATGGCTTTCATCGAGCTTGCATTGCTCTAAACCTTTAAAACTCCCACACATCGGTCGTCTGCTCCACTGTGGGCAAGAGGGGGGCCAGGCGATTCCCGTCCCTCAGTATCGATGTGACATTATCCGTGGATCCGCCCAGCTTGTCTCT